TGACGATGGTGATGGTGATGATGAGGCTTTGAGGTTTGCATATTGGGGCTGGGGGTTTGCGCGTGGCACTCCCTCAACAAAAACAGGTTCGACCCAAAACACTGCCATACCAATGCGACCCCTGATTACTAATGCCTTATTATTCTTTAATGCCAAAGAATCTCTCTAACCCCCAACTCTGTCCGAATCCCAGAAGGTCTAAACCTCTAGTATAGAAGCTTGACCTACACCACCAATACCTGCCCTTATAGGGTCATGCCCTAAAAACCTCTTCTCATGTTTGAGGTTTATTAAGGCCTCAGTATGAATCCCTGAGGATGATTTGACGCTGTCAGATGCCATCGAGGATTTCGGTAGTGAGGTGGCCGTTGAGGGTCATAGGGTTCCTGGTGCCTTCGGCTTTGATTTTTTCAGTGGGATTGAAGCTGTAGGATTGTGATGATGCTACAGAAAGCGCTGTGGGAGTGGTTAAAAAGGAAGCAGATTGAATCCGCACACCTTCAACCGGAGATAGCGCAGTATAATTAAATACAACATCACGCATAACATACGAAAACGTAGAAGTAGTTTAATTATGCTCTCTGATGTGATTGGATGTTAGGCCACACGAGTACACATGTAGCGCAATGTAACATGGCTTCATGCAAACTGTCATGCGACCTTCATTCATATTCATGAAAGTTAAGTGACCTGTACTATCAAAGTACCCGGCACGATAAGCTGACTGGACATGAGTTCCCTGCCCAGTGCGCATGGCTTCCGTTTGCGTCCGGTAAGGAACACGGATGGTACTGCAGCAGCTTCTTGCACCCTCCTAAACCCGAAGATTGATCCTCTTCACCTCTGGCACGGGGAAACTAAGATGAAGAGATCCCTGGGCTCTAAAGTAGGATCCTCAGGCGAAGGAAAAGAGGTNNCCCCCCCCCCCCCCCCCCACATGCGAAGGAATCCTCCCACTCAGAGTCGCAGAAACGAAACCCAAGCCTGGCCAAGGCGACATTTTTCAATGCAGACATATTTTTTCGTGCTGACGAAATAGTATGTCGGCGTCATGTAGGCAAAGGTGATGATGCCGCCTCTACTGGTTATGTTGCTCATGATGGTGATGATGATGATGATGGTGTCGAGATACGCTGAGCTGATGCTGCTGTTCGTAGTCATGATGGTTATTACTTGATGCTAGAAGGACCGTGATAGTGACATCAATGTGCATCAGAGGGGTAGCAAGCGTAGTAGCTACCATGGTGCCAGGCTTTCAGCTCGCGTTTCGGGTCTAGGTTGTGGGGTTTTGGTGAGACAGCCTAAACCTCAAAATCAAGACCCACATTCTCTCCGCACCCGTTTTAATCCCCTGATAAACCTCATAACTACAGCCCAGTAGAAAAAGTAAACAGGCCCCCTAAACCCAAAATAACCTAAGCCTCAAACCCGTCCTCGTCGGCCTCAGTCCTCTGGCGCGGGTGCCAATGTGGCGATCCCAAAGAATCCGAAGGGCAAGCCCTACTTAGAGAATCTTGGGCCGAGACGGTTTAGGGTTTAGGGTTTAGGGTTTAGGGTGTGGGGTTTAGGGTCTAGGGGGGCAAGCCCTACTTAGAGATTCTTGGGCCGTGTTGTAGGCACTTTCAGGTTTCTGGGTTCTGCGTTTAGGGCAGCTTAG